TAGACTCACCGTTTTGAAGCAGTTGTGGGTTTTCGGGTTTTCTGTAAATCAAAGTAGGCATACAAGTGATAGCTCACACCATTTAGTTATATATATATATATATATATATATATATATATATATATATATATGAAATGACACTACCTAAAAAGAGTTGAAAAAAAAGAAGAAGCATATCTTGACAAAATTAAAATCTGTAAACTCACCTTTTGGTAGCAGTTACGGGTTTTTTTGTAAATCAAAGTATCATGCAAGTGATAGCTCACAATGTTTAGTTATATATATGAAATGACACTACCTAAAAAGAGTTGAAAAAGAGCATATCTTGACAAATTTTGGCAAAATTATAATCTTGAGGCTATCGAATTCTACACATAAGAGGCTTGCATTCTAAAAGAAAAAAGCGGATTTAATAATTTCTTAAAAAAGGGTTAAACTCATTATTATCTTGTTATGTTAGTGAGTAAAATTGAAAAAGAGAACAAATCTAATACTACTCCATACATAAGGCAGAAGTCAATACTCAATAGTAGCTTATCACTATAGGTTATATGAAATCAATTAATAATCATTCAATTAGTATACTATGCACTTAGTGCTTCGCATAGTAACATAGTCTTGATAAACATTGTTTACAAAATTGATAGTTGGATCGCACGCTCCTCCCGTGTGCGGACTGATTATTTTTGATGTTTCTTTATTGGGGGGCACGGAGATTCAAACCCATGACCTTTGGCATGACTCTGATATAAATTTAAAGCATGTGCTCCATTTCAACTAAAACTCTAAGCTGATAGTTGGATTGCACATTTATTTGCACATTTATGTATGTATATATTATATACTCAACAACAAACAAGATGAACACATACTTGAAAAACATGAAACAGTGATCATTACATTTCACTAGTATGTCTCCCGTGCGATGCACAGACTATTTTTTTTTTCCTGAGTTAGTATTAGTTTTTGTTATAATATATTTACAAAGATATGATAAAGACTATATGGTAAATATCAAATATTATTGAGAGATAATAGAGTTTTATATGTATTATTATGCATCAATGAAATAATTATGATTGACATTTAATAATAGAAAAAAGTGTAATTACATATTATTAAAAACTTGTTTATTAGCTCTAGAGCGGGTCGTGTGGATTTAGAATTAGTCTGACGAAACTAGGATCACCTAAGTTTAAAATAATAATACTTTGTAATAATAATAACAATAACAATAACAATAACAATAACAACAACAACAACAACAACAACAACAACAACAACAACAACAACAACAACAACAACAATAATAATAATAATAATAATAATAATAATAATAATAATAATAACCCTTAGCTTTATGCCAATTTTTGGTATATATAGGGTTTAGCATTGAGCCGCTTAGGGTTAACTCAATGGTTCAGTAGGCAGTATTTGAGATAAGAGATCAAGGTTTGAACCTCGATAACAATAGTGTGGGGACTATGCTCAAAATGGCCAGATCCCTTGTGCGCACCGGCATTTAGCCATGTCTGCAGAGCCATTGAGTCACCGTAATTTACATCCTCCTAAATTCTGTCGAACCGGCGTATGGAGGGCCCTTGATGTTGTTGGAGATTCAACTTTTTGGGAGAAACATTTAGCGCATTGAATTGAACAAAGGTGCAGTGGGGCCATGCAATCGTTATGCCATGGAACCGTATTAACCATCCATGGTGAACACGGTCCCAAACGGTAACCGGTGCCCGTAGGTGGCACCGTTATCTTTTTTTTTTTTTTTTTTTTTTTTTTTTCTTAATTAACAGCGCGACTTTTCTTCTTCATTTTCACATTTCGCGGTTTCACTTCCTCTTCGCGCAAGCTTCTTCAACACTTATAAATTATGAATGCGCAGGCATGGATTTATAAATGTGCAGTTATGAAATTATGAATTTTCTTTTATGAGATTATGAATTTTCTGTTATGAAATTATGAATTTTCTGTTATGCGATTATGAATTTTCTGTTATGAGATTATGAATTTACAGAAAATTCATAATTACATAACTGTAAATTCATAATCTCATAATAGAAAATTTATAATTTAATAAATATTTTTCTTTTGTGAGATTATGAACTTTCTGTTATGAAATTATGAATTTTCTGTTATGAGATTATGAATTTTCTGTTATGAGATTATGAATTTACAGAAAATTCATAATTACATAACTGTAAATTCATAATCTCATAACAGAAAATTCATAATTTAATAAATGTAAATTCATAATCTGAACATAGAATGCAAAACGCCATTAAGAGCACATTAACTAATTTTTTTTCCGTAAAAATGACGCCGTTTTGAAACGTGTTCACAAAACATGGTGAACACGTTTCCACGGCATAATTTGCGAGGGCCATGGAGGTGGACAATGCATTGCATTTTATGGTGTTACATTAATTCAATTCACATCAGAATCCATATCTATTTACAGTTTCTGATGTGAGATTAAGATTGCTTTCCACATAACCAATTTGACTTGTGAACACACCTTATCTGTTGAATGTGATGGGTAATTGGGGTCTAATTATCGCCCTAGGCCCCATTATCATTTTGGGTTGTAACATTTTTGGTTGCGTATACAAATTGACTAGATCAGATTTCACACTTAAATTCTTAAAGTTATGGAAAAAGTTTCTTGTGAACTAGACGTACACCATACAAGAAGAACATAGATGATGTAATAAACTAATAAGTTACATTCCGGTAGCTTTAAAAAAAAAAGTTAAAATCTAAAAAGATTTTATGTCATTTAAATCATAAATTAGGTCATCAATAGTAAATACCGACCGACCGCGGAACGTCAATATTAAATAATTTAAGATCAACGATTTTAAAATTAGAAGTAGATAATTAATGATTTGAAAGAGACATTATTTCTCAATCTTGGTTTATGAAACACCTACCATAATTTTTTTTTTTTTGCCACCATTACTCGGCAAATTATACTCCCAACCCCAGTCAGTTACACAAGGAAGTAATCATTAATTACAACAATTTAAAATGTATACTGTAGCTATATCACTTATATGCTTTTGGGCAAATTATTCTGTGGACTCGGGTCCACCTGAATCCGAGTCTAAAAATACACAATTTATATATTCATAATTTAAATTATAAACATTTACGGAGTAATATGTAAATTATGTATTTTGGACTAGGGTCCACCTTCTAAAGTGGACCCTGGCCATGGTATAACTGTTGATGCTTTTGTATGCCATACAAAAGACTGAACTGGACCATAATAATACGCAAATTATGCTGTAGTCTCGTATTGTGAACACGAGTCCAAAATGATGTCGTTTTTAGGGAAAACACGGCATTTCAGTTAATTTTTTTTTTTTTTGATTTTGTCTCGCTGTTAACAGCGTTATTCGTTTGTGGAATTATGAATGTATAGTTATGGAATTATGAACACAGAGCTCTGACATTATGAACTTACAATTATGAACATATAATGATAAAATTATGAACATAGAGCTCTAAAATTTTGAACATAGAGCTTCGAAAATTATGAATTTACAGTTATTGAATTATGAATGTACAGTTATGGAATTATGAATGTACATTTATGGAAGTATGAAGGTACAGTTATGAAATTATGAACACAGAGCTCTGACATTATGAACTTACAATTATGAACATATAGTGATAAAATTATGAACATATGCTCCTATAACGAAGCGGTCTGAAATTTAAAAAAAAAAATTGGAAGATAATGATGCCACTAACGATACTGTTACCGTGTCCACAATGCATGCTGGACACGGGTCCATAGCATAATGATTGATAATAATAGGACTAATAATAACTTCAAATCATAGTACTATAAAAACCCAAAAATCATAGTACTACAAATTTATCATAGTACTATAAAAACCCAAAAATCATATACTACAAATTTAAGGCACAAAATTTATATTGATTGTCTATATATAGCGAATACATGCATTATACATACATTGATTAAAAAGTTTGCTTGGAATTATAAGGGCTATATGTATATTTTAGAATTTTTACGTCCACAGAAATTTAAATTAGACATTTTTAATCTCACCCTATACAAAATTATATATGAATAATTGAATATTAAAAAGTTTTAGGAGTAGGTTTCATAGTGCAAATTAAAATATTTCAATAAATATATAGGCAGGTTTTTTTTTTTTTTTTTTTTTTTACATAAGCCAGTGGAAAGTGGCCTTATGGCCTTATTAGAAAAAAAAAAAACACGAGATAAATAACAAATTTACAAACTATACCATGAACAAGTGTCCACCTTGCATTATAGAGTATGATCCAAAATAACATTCAGATTATATGTATGCAGTTAACATATTATGTGTATGCTTATAGTTAACAGATTATATGTGTTTGTAAATAAATTGAAGATACATAATATATTAACTACAAACACATATAATATTTTAACTACAGACACTTGCATATAATGTGTTTATAGTTAACATATTATGTATTTGCAGTTAACATATTGTATTTGTAGTTGATATATATTATGTGCTGCAGTTGACAAATTATGCACCTTCAATTTATTTATAAACACATAATTTTTTAACTGAATGCACATTATAATATGTTAACTATAAACACATATTTTTTTTTAAAAAAAAATCAGAATTCACAATACAAGGTGAACCTTAGTCCATGATATAACAATGGAAGATAAATCCGTCTATGTATACAATTAGTTAAATTCTAACTATATGTCTTTATGCACACCAATTTTGCAAACTTTAGTTGAGTCTGCAGAAAAAAAATGGTAGATAAAATGGTGTATTTGGACCCATACTCACCCATGCAATAATTGAGGAAGACCTCTTCAAAAGTTCAAAAACTTTATTTATTTATGGATTTTGAATTGCTCCCTTAAAATTTAAAAGAATGTCTTCTTAGTAATAATTTTTTATTTTGGTTGTACCTACCATAAAAATAGAAAGTAATTATGATATCTGGGTACAAATTTATATTATTAGACTGAATTTTCAACATTAATTAATAATAAATGGTTAGTATATATAGGTTGAATTGATTGATATAAAATTAAGAGCCCCCTAATATAATTATTTTATCTAAAACATAAATTAAATCAAGAGGCCCCCCACAGTATATAATTTATAATAATATAATTAACACTCAAAAATCCCAAATGGAATCATCTTGAATTTCTTCCCAATCTTCCAACTCCATCATGTCTTCACAGATCATCAATGGCGGCTCTCTTAGTAACAGTGTCGTCGCCGCTAACTCCATCCACATCTTGTTCGGAGAATCCATCGGGGTCTCATTTATGGCTTGTATCTGGTTCGGCGAGAGTCCAATCCTCACCGGCCGCAATCCGGCGCCGGGGACTCCTTCCGCCGGCGGCTTGAAACCCATGGCGGCCTGGTGGGCGGCGAGGCGGACGTCCTCGGGCTGAGAGGAGGCGGGCTTGGGAAACCCCTCCACCAACTCCGGGAAGTTGAGCCGCGCCTTGCAGCCTCTCAGGTGAAATGCCGCCACGTCGTAGGCGGCGGCCGCCATCTCCGGCGTCTCGAAGCTCCCCAGCCATATCCGGGTTTTCTTCCCCGGCTCGCGAATCTCCGACACCCATTTCCCCCATTTCCGCTTCCGCACTCCGACATAAACTCCCATCGTCGACCCTTCCATTAATTTCCTCGGATTTCACGAACAAATCCTTAATTTCTTTCTGTTTTTCTTCGAGCTAGAAGTGTCGGGGAGATGATGAGTATATATAGACATTGATGGGCTCTTCTATCGGTTACAGTAGAATAAAGAAGAGTGAGCTTCCACGTAGTTGCATGAAAGTGGATGAAAGTTGTATGACAGAGTGATAAGGAAAAATAAAGAAAATAGAAAAACTAGTATGTATGTAATGTACGTTCACTTGTGTTGAATAATTTTGATTAATTTTGTCTTGTTGTAATTACTAATTTTATATTTGGATTTTGGGGTTTAGATTATACATAACTTAAGTCGCCAACAGTACACGTGGGGTATTAAACCAAATTCATTGTTCTGATTGATATTTACACGTGTCGATGGTCAGCGATCTTATATGTTTGCCCAGAATCCGGAGTATATACTGTGTCCCACCTATGGCGGAGCCGGGAAAATAAGATAAATGAGATTACAAATTGCAAAGTTATATTAATTCTTGTCCCAAGTCTATATATATATATATATATATATATATATATATATATATATATATAGTCTAGTTCTAGTGCCACCCTGCCTTAAAGTGCGATCAATACTGACGCATCATTAGGTATGCAAACACGAACTAACAGTGTTAGAAAACACACAATAAAAAATGCACTAAGTACGCATTACCAAAAAATGCACCATTAGGTACGTATCACCACAAAATGCATCATTAGGTATGCATAAATGTACAACACACTGTTCAGAAACGTACAATTAGGTGTGGGGAGGTATGGTGCATTTTTTTGGGTGTGCGGTGCATGCATTTTTTGGTGCATTTGGGTGTGCGTATGTTGTCTCATATTTCAAAATTTCTATAAGGGCAAATGTGGAGATTTTGCAGGGGAAAAGTGGAACCCACCCATTTTAATAATTTCCAAGAAAAGACGCGTGAAGGCCACAAATGGCGCCCAGCGAGCACGCTAATGACAGTCTTTATTTTATTTATTTATTTTTTTTTTAAAATCAGCATTTGTTTTATTTATTTTTTTTCACTTTTCTACCATTTTCTCTTTCCTAATCACACTTACAAAAACTTCGCAAAACCCACACCAAGATCCCTACTAATGACGATGCCCTAAGATTTCTTTTTTATTTGACGCATGGGTAAAGATGTTTTTTTTTTTTTTTTTTCTTCAAAATATGGTACTAACTACTAAGTTATCTATGTACGTCCAATATATATATAGGGAAGGGTTCAGGTGCGAGTTAGGCTTCTTGTGTGGTTGTGCGGTTGACGCACCTTAAGCATTCAAATGGTGCACCTTAAGTACACAAACCACCACACACCTTAAGTACACAATCAAAGGAACACAAACCACTCGCCTTAAGTATAGAAACCACACACCTTAAGCACACACCAAAGCACCTTAAGAACACAAATCAGGCACCTAAGGTTTCAAAATGACTCACCTTAAGTTTCACACAACTGCATACAAATCATGCACCTTAATTAAGAAGGAAAACAACGCACCTTAAGAAGGAAAATCACGCACCTAAAGTTTCAACAACTACTCACATTAAGCACAAAACTCACACATCGTAAGCACAAAACCCACACAACTTAAGTACAAAAACCATGCACCTTAAGAAGTAAAACTACGTACCTTAAGTTTCAATAAATACTCACAGTATGCACACAACCCACGCACCTTAAGCATAAAACTCACGCACCTTAAGCACAAAAATCACGCAACTTAAGAAGGAAAGCCACACACCTTAAGTTTCAACAAATACACACAATAAGCATACAACACATGCATCTTAAGCACAAACCCCACGCACCTTAAGAAGGAAAACCACTCACTTTAATTTGACCTAGATGCAAAAAATTACCAAATTGCCATCACGTTTTTTTTTTAAAATATTTTTTTTATATAAATTTTGATAATCCTGAACGTTGATTTAAGCAAAATCAATGGCTCAGATTTAACCGTACCTGGGCGCACCAATCGCACATGAACCTATATATATGGAACAATGGTAATATCATCTAAATTCTCTACTTTACTTTATCATATTTTGAAATCTTAGACAGTGATGGAATTTGGTGTAAGGGCTTATAGTTATTATTTTTCTTATTTCAAATTTACATTTCTAAAGTCACAATATTTTGAAGCGTATCCAAAATATAGTGAAAACTTGTATCTGAGAATTAAGAAAATTTTGAAGGATAGAAGTGAAATGTGTCTTTAAAAAATAAAATGAGCGGCAAATGCTTTAGTCGAGTTTTTATTCGATCACAACAAGGATTGAAGGTTCTTAAGTATCATCCTTCTTGTCTTATGATGATGTTGTCAAATGATAGATAGGGTGCACTATCAAACTAAGGATGTTCCGATGTTGGCTAGTTAGGATTTAACATTTGGATTAATAACCAAACACAATAACAAAAACACATTCCTAATTTAGGGCTAAACAAACGAATAATAAAGAAAAATTAGGCAGATCACTATGCCTCATTTTGAACCAAACAAATAAAGAATTAAAATATTAAAATAAAAATACTCCGTACTAAAATGTATATTTAGAAAATTGGTGACCCTATAGGGTCCCACCAACTCCATTGTGGCTCCACCATTAGATTTAACAATATCTTTCTGTGTCTAATAACCACTAGTGGAGCTAAACAAATTAACTATAACACAATTGTTATGCCATAGACCAAAGTTGACCTTGTATTATTAACTTTGATTCAAAACAACATTCAGATTATGTACTTATATTTAACATATTATAATTTTCTTTTAGTATTTTTAGTTAATAAGTTATGTACTTATTACAATTAACATATTATGTATATGTAGTTAACGTATTATGTACATACAATTAATAAATTATGTATTTATTACAATTAACATATTACTCTATATCTAACTGTAATTAACATATTATATACATTCAGTTAAAAATTATGTACATATTACAATTAACATATTATGTACTAGTTTATTTACAGGTACATAAACTGTCAACGAAAGGTATATAATATGAATGTCGTTTTATATTAGGGTCCACAATGTAAATGGACCTTGGCTCATGATATAATTTGCCGGTTTCAATCATTATTTCATGGAACCATAAATAAAAAGTACATTTTAATATACTAAAAATACATTATTTGTATACATAAAGTACATTATTTGAAAGTACATGATTTTTAATATATTATCAAATAATGTACAGTACACAAATAATGTATTTTTAATATATTAAAAATGTATATAGCATTCATGGTCCACACAACTATGTGAACCATGGTCCACACAATAATTTGTCGGTAGACTATGGCTAAGCCATTTTATACTACGAACAGTGTTGGACTTTAAATTTTGGCCCATGGTTCAGGCCGACTCCTTTCGACCAGGAACGTTATGCTGTGAGCATGTGCCCACCTTGCAAGGTGGGCACGGTTCTATATCCATAATTTTTATACTGTAGATTCATAATTTTTATACTATAGATCCATAATTTCTATATTGTAGATTCATAAAATTTATACTTTAAATTCAAATTTTCTAAACCATAGATTCATAATTTAAATACAGTAGATTCATAATTTCTATACAGTAGATTCATGATTTCTATACTGAAGATTCATAATATCTGTACTGTAGATTCATAATTTCTGTACTGTGAATTCATAATTTTTCTAAACTGTATAGTTATCAAATTATGAACATATAGTTTTCTGATTTGTGAAAACAGAGTTCAACAATTGAAATCTAAAGTATAAATTTTATGAATTTACAGTATAGAAATTATGGTTCTACAGTATAGAAATTATGGATATGGAACCGTATCCACCTTGCAAGGTGGACACATGCTCACAACATAATTTGCCTTTCGACCAGTTGACCAATACATTTTTAATAAATATAATATACATATATACATAAAAGATATAATATACATTTTTTAAATTTAATAATACATTTTTAAGAATTGTGAAACTGGTTTATATCTATTAAATTGTCACGTATTTACTATTTAGCTAGCTAATTGCTTAACAAGCAAACTAATTAGCAATTACTGCCTTAAAATATTTTAGTTATAAAATTTTATTTCTTTTAAATTAGAAAAATTACTCCTACTGCTTAGTAGTTAGTAGTTGCAATTTGTAAACTTATCCTTATTAATCTTATTACATTATTGATTATTCGTTTCATCATTTTTTTTTTTGTAATATTCTTAAGTTAAATATTTGAAAATAACACAAATAAATGCAAATGTTGATGTCCAGGACTATGTGGTCTAATGGTATTCGGGTTGGACTTTCATTTGGAAAGTTGTAAGTTCGAGCCTCAGTGGAGGCGTTATTAGCTCTCTGTGTTTCAGTAGGTTGAGAAAGTATACGAACAGATACTACAATGTAATAGCGCTAGTATCATTCAAAAAAAAAATATTTGAAAATAAATATGTAAACTTGTGAAACTAATTTAAAAGAAAACACAATGTAAATGAGTTGATATATAATTTTTAATATTTTTTCTATTTTTGGTATATGGACTGAGCCGTGCTGCGAGCGGCTAGCGGTGGCACGAGGAGAAGGCAGTGGTAGTGGCGGCTGCGATAAAGAAATGAAGAAGAAGAGAGGAGGTGGTGGCTGTTGTGGCGGCGTAGTGTTCTACGGTAGCGACGACGAGGTACGACTGCTGAGGAGAGAAGAAATGAAGACAGGGAAGGTGGTGGCTGTAGGGCGGTGGTGAGGGAAGAAGAAATGAAGGGAAGGGAAGAAGAGAAGGAGAAAATAGGGTAGTATTTGAAATGGAGGGATGATAAGAAGACGGTTTTGTTTTATAACCGACTTTGTATATCTTGTAATATATATATATATATATATATATATATATATATATATATAATGTAATAGACCTACTATGTCAGTTTTATATAAAAATTGATGTCGTAGGTGTTTAATAAAGTTTTTTATTTTAAAAAATTTATATTATACGGCGTCGGTCGTATAGTTATGAAAAAATAAAATTAA